CCAGTGACTGTTCTCTCCTGACAATATGTCCAAAGTATGAGAGACGAAGCTTAGCCATCCTGGCCTCCAAGGAGCACTCTGGCTGCATTTCTTCCAAAACAGAGCTATTGGTTCTTTTAACTTTGTCACATGGGGCCACTATGAGGTGGACCTGACCCAGGTGAGAGGTGATAGTGGCTGCTGGTCTAGGGTAGTTACAGAGGGGCTGAAGATGAGGAGGACAGGGACTTGTGGGGTAATTGGAGACTCACCAAGTCTTGGTGAGAAATTGGATGTGGGAGGTGAAGGAAGGAAGGAGTTAATGATAATGACTCCCAGGTTTCTGGTTTAGATGACTAGAGAAGGTAACAAGGGAAGAGCGGGCTGGGGCCAGGGAAGCTATTGAGTTCAGTTTTGCAGGGACTTGATTTAAGGTGTCTGGGCACTGGGCTGATATGACCAGTAGGATGTAATCAGCAGAGGTTCCAGCTGTGACACACTAGCCACAGCTCCCAGGGAAGGGTGATCTCAGCAAGGGTACTCTGGACCTGGAGTGAGAAATGCCTCTATCTGTGTGTGGGTGTATCTCTGATACCTGACACCCTGTGAGGACTCTGCTTCTGTGGACTGCCCCTCAGTCCCTTGCCCCTCAGGCTCCTCTGCCAGTCTTTGCTGGGCCTGGGCTTCCAGATAGGAAGGGTGATGAATGTTCCCAGGGCAGTACTGGCCTTACCTGCGAGTGGGACCCCAATCCCTTCTCTCGGCATCAGATGCTCCCTTGAGTCCTGACCTCAAGAGGCTGCCTTGGCATGGTTGTGACCTTTCATAGTGGCTGCTCCTGCTGCCCTGCAGCCCCAAAGCGCTGGGTCCAGATTTAGCTCAGCCTCCCCACTCTAGTGACAGCCCTGTAATCAGGACCTGGGCAATGCCACCTTAAGATACCACCTAACCAACTCCCTCCATTACACAAATAAAGCAGCTGAGGCCTGGAAAAAGTGGGAGTTACCCAAGGACACTCTGCTAGCCAACAACAGGACCAGAACTTTAACTTCTTTTGTAGCCCCAAGTCTTTCTGTGTGCCCTCTCTCCTTCTCAAGCTCCCATGCCATGTACCTTAAACATTCCTATCTACCCAGAACCCCCATGTATTCTTGCAGGGTTGCAGAGAAAGAAAGGGCTTCAGATTCACCTGAAAATAACACAAGAGGCAGAGGGATGCAGGAAGCATTTATTGAGAACTGGAGCTGAATTCTATAGGAGGTAAAAGGCACGACACAGGCAAGCTCTTGTAGGTTAGGGTTATGTATGGGTAGTAGCCAGTGATAGAACTGCAACTTCTCAAGACTGCCTCCTGCTGGTTCTTTGGGGGAAAGGCAGGTAGAAGTGGATCCTCTATGCCACTACCACAGCCAGAAGTCAGCTTGTGTCTCTTCTCTGGAAGAGCCGCTTAGACCCAGCCTCCCACACTGCAAGACACCCTACAGCAGATGGGGCTGCAGTAAATTTAGTCATTCATTGTGGATCCAGCAGGAGCACCCTTTCCTTGTCCCACAAATAGGACCTGTGTCCCAAATCCTCTGGAATCATTTCTTTATTGCAAAGCATTCCACTCCTATCTCAACTCTTCCACCCTGACCTCAGCTGTTCCCAGCCTCACTTGGTGAATCCTAGGTCTAACATCATCCTGAGGGGTGGGTGGACCCACTGCCACCACTAAATCACACCTTTGCACCTTTCTGCCATCCTTCCAGCCTACATATCTTTGATCTTTAGCCAACCCAGAGCATGCTAAAGCTAACAGTTCAAATCTCTAGAGGGCACCACCAGCCAACTCTAGACCAACAGAACTCACCAAGGTTTTGAGAACAATCTAGAGCCTGCAGTCAGGCCCCTCAAGGCCACTGGGCATCAAGCATTAACTAGGCCAGAGTGTTACAGGAAATAAATGAGACAGAACAGTGTCCACTTATCTGGGGCTCGAGCCTAAAACTGAAGAGTGGGGTACTTTCTAGGGGGCTAGAAACACAGGTAGCCCCTGGCCCCAACCCTCCACTCACCCACCCACCCAACTCATCTCCCTCTGAGTTGCAGCCCAGCCAGGCCACAAGACCTTTCTAAATACTGTGGAATGCATTTTGGAATGCACAGATCTCATCAGGGGTCATCTGAGCTTTCATTCCGCTGCTAGAATCTCCTCTATTGCCTCCTATTCACTCCTTGTATACACTTGTCACCTTGCTTGTCCAAATGGACAACTTTAAAGTCAGGGGCCATCAGGTAAAGTCACAGGGTGGGTCCTTCTCTCCCCAGGTCAGCTTTGAGCCCAGAACCTGCCATGAAAGGGTTCCAAAGGGAGAGACGTGTTGAAGGTTACTATAGAGACCAGGAGGCCTAGATCCTGGGCCTCACCTCCTTGGTTATATATAAAATGTTCTGGACAGCCTGAGCTGGGTTAGAAAACAAAGTAGTATGAACAGAGCCAGAGGAATCGTTCTACCTCTTCTCTCCAGAGGGGCCAGCGGGCACCTTGAGTTGGCTGCGGAGTCCTCTCTAAAGGTCACTGTGATAAAAATAGAGCTTGTCTGGGAAAAGATGGAAAACAGCTGCTCCGGTCTGGGACTTTGTGCTAGTGATCCGGGTGGTCAGGCCAGGGCCTGGACAGAAGACACCAGCCTAGGACCTTCTGGATACACCCCTCATTTGCCAGGCTCCAGAAAGCAATGCCAGAAAGGGAGCAGCAAGTCTGGGGTTCATATACACAACACCCTGCCTCTTCAAGACACTGTTATGTGTGTAGGGTGTATGTTGATGGAAGGGGAGATTTAGACGTTTGGAGATTGCCTTGTCAAAGCCCCATTAAACAGATAGGAAAGCTGAGGGCCAGAGACAGGGTCTTGTTCAGGGTCACACAATGGCTGAAGGACACTAGGACCCAAGTTTGGGTTCCTAAGCCACCCTCAAATCCAGTATTCTTCTGCTCTACCCTTCCCCTAGGGATGTGATGCTGCGGTTCCTCAGGCCCCATGGCTCTTCTTCCGGCCAAGAACACCTGGGGCAGGGTAGGGGGCAAGCCTTATGTGGTGCAAGAGGCTTCGGCAGGGAGGCTGCCACGCTTGAGCCTCAGGCTGCCGTTCCACCCACGGGGGCAGATGTTGTAGCCGAGGATGCCTGGAGACTTGGCTCCAGAGTCCTCGGAGTCGAGGGACATGTCGGAGTCCGTGGGCGAACGGCGGTAGGGGAAGGGCCTGGGTGGCGCTGGCAATGGGCTCCGGGGGCTGGCGCAAGGTGAGAGCCCAGCAGGCAGCTGGCTCCTCGGGATCGGGGCGAATGTGGCTCCAGGAGCCACAACCGGGCCAAGGCGGGCGGGCTGCGGCGAGCGCATGCGTGGCGGCGGGGGCGGGGGCGGGGGTGGCAGTCGGGGCGGAGAGAAGGGCCGTAAGCTCTCGGAGCCCGCGGGCCGCGGGGAGGCGCTCTTGCGCCGGGCCGCGTTGATGATGTTTCGCGCCAGAAGCGCCTGCAGCTGGCGACTGGGTGGCCGTGCTTCGGGCTCGGAACGCAACGGGGATACAGAGCGCTCGCTCCACGAGGGGGACATGGGCGGCGGCGGTGGCAATGGCGGGGGGCTACTCATGCGGCTCCCTTGGCTGGGCTCCCACGGCCCCGGGCTCACCCAGCCATCCAGGCTGCTGGGGGGCCGGGACGCACTAGGCGTCCAGGGCGGGGAGGTGGGCAAACTCTCGCGGCGGTCCTAGGGAGAAAGCAGAGAGGGGGCAACCGTTAGTGCGGGGGTGCTCTATAATGGGGCTAGAAAGGTACTCAGTCGGATTTGTCTATTGTACACAGCCGGGAAGTCACCACCCAAAGTCATGTGGGTATGTGCCATGGAGTCGATTCCGACTCTTAGCGACCCTGCATAGGGTTTCTGAGGCTGTAAATCTTTACGGGAGCAGAAAGCATCATCTTTCTCCTACGGAACCGCTGGTAGTTCAAACTGCTGACCTTGAGGTTCGCAGCCTGATTCGTAACCACCTCGCTACCAGAGCATCATCAAAAGTCATGTTAGTTAAGTACCCTCCAGTGGGTTCCGACCTATAGTGATCCTGTATAGGGTTTTCAAGGAGTGGCAGGTGGGCTCGAACCTCCAACCTTGTAGTTCAAGCCAACTTTGCAGTCCAGTGCATTTACCCATAGTGCCACACCAGGACTGTAATAACA